AATCATTGATTGTCATATCTTTAGTCAACTCTTGGGGATTAGGGGGAAGTGAAAAGATTTTTGCTCAAGACTAGATCTTACTTACATCTCCCTACCTTGTAATACTAGTAGGTTTCTGTAATCGCACACTGGTCTAATCCTTTTACAAATGAAGAGTCTGGGTAAATGGGAGTTTGCCTGCCACCCCCCCCACCACCATCCACATTGTAAGTTCAAGTGCAGCTAAATCAACTATGCCCAGATTTCAATAGGATGATCTCAACTGGTTCTGCAACTCTTAGCTGAAAAACTCCATCCTAACCTTGTAAGGTTACATGAATGAACCCATACACAAACACCTCATGCTGCATGATTCCATTTATGCAGAAAGTAGACCAGTGATTGCCTGGGTGGAGAGGAAGTAAACAGATATGATTATTTAAGGGGTATTATAGTAAATAGTGATGAGAGTTGTACCATATTGTGAGTATACAAAAATGCTGATTTATGACTTAGTAAAATCCACTAAATTGTGCATTTAAAATGGTTAAAATGTAATGGAAGGGATGAACCAAACCAGTGTACAATATATGTGTATATATAGAAAACCACAAGGAATCCCCCTGTATAACTATCATATACTAATAAAAACACTTAAAAATTAAAAAAAAGAAAAAAAGTGGTTAAAATGTTGAACTTTGAGTTATGTGAACTTTATCACAACTAAAAACAAAAACAAAAAACACATCCAACCTGAAATGAAGATAAGAGCTAGACAGTGAGATGGGATGGGTGAGTGAGGATTGCTTAGAGCTGCTTAGAACTGCTCCATTCTGTCTCTCCCTGGGGAGGGAAGGTAGTTTCCTCACCATTTCTAGCCAAGTAAAGGGAGCTTCCAGAAAAACAAGGCCACAAGTTGGCACATGCCTCCTGGAATTTAGAAAGCACAGGACCTGAAGTCTGAGTTGTCCCTGAAAACATGTCTCACAGAGCAAGAGGTGAGAGAGACAGTGTTCCATACCAAATCTTAGGCATCTTACAAAACCCACTGGAGACAGGCCAGAAGGACAGGATGTTGCAGAAGTTGGGTGTTATGCTAGAGGTGGTGGGCAAAGCCGTGGGTTTCCTGTGGGCTGACCCTAAAGTCACACCATAGAAACCCTATTAAAAGTGTGGACAGCACAGTGAGGAGCCTTTTACAGGCAGCTCCTGAGTGCAGAGGCAGGCAGGCACCCTGGTGCATAACTCCTCCAAAGGACCCAATGTGTCCCTGAGCTTAAAAAAAAAAAAAAAGGAACAATAGCTATCTGCCAGTGTCCAAATTACTCTGGATTATAGGACACCTGCTAGAATCAAATATGATAAAGACTGTGAAAGCCTTTCATAGGATAGAAACTGCTATTAAAGTGTCACTTGTTAGTAAAAATGACTCAAGAACTCGGAATCATCAAACTAGTGCGGTAAAAATTCCCTGTCTAGAAGCTCTAACTCCTTAGGTCTTTGAATCTGACCCGAGAAACACTGGAAATCACAGGAGAACCCCTTGAGATTTCAGCTACTCAAATCACTGTCGCCAGGCTCCTTCCAAACCAGAAAGATGATCACATGACCACACCTGTCAGCACACCAGATTCAAATCATGTCAAGTGGCAAGTCACTTCCTGTTGTCCACTGGAGACATTATCAAATGATCAAAAAGACCAGCAGATAATACCCTATCTGTCTTGCTTTAAACTCCTGAGAAGGCAACTCAACCATCTGTCTTAGTACTCATTCCAGTTGGAGCCACCCTGGAAGAAACTTATCCATTCTGTTTAATTTAAGCCCTGCAAATGCAACCCCAAGATCATTTCAGCACATTCCATTTTCAAATAATTTAGAACAGAGTTGTTTCCTTTGGGAGTTACAGATTAGATCATGTCCCAAGCTTGTGGTGAGTGGTAAATAGAATGACAATGTAAAACACACAATTCAGAGTCTGGCACATAATAACGGCCATCTTTATAACACACACATTGCTGTATGTACTGGGACTCTGTCAGTCACGAGTGAAATAAGCACAACTCAAAATAATTTAAGCATAAAGAAGAGAGGGAGGTTGAGAATGTAATTAAAAAGGAAGTGTGAGTATGCAGTGGCTTTCGGGAACTACTGGATCCAGGACTCAAATAATAGGGCTGTTCGTCCCAGTTTTCCCTCCTTCTGTCTTTTAGATAAGCTTCATAAAGTGGAAAGGGCATGATAACAGCCAGCAAGCTTAGGTAGGGGTGGACCGTACCTTAGCCATCTAGAACAGGTTCTCTGTTGGTCAGCTCATTCAACAAAATTTTATTGACTGTCAACCAAGTGGCAATCTGGGTTCTAGGAGTTGAGAATAAAGTAGTAACCAAGACAAACAGAATTGCTGCCCTGTGGAATTTACCTTTGAGTGAGAGGCGGTAAGGTTTGGATGATTTGCATTTGTTCCTCAGAGGTTTATGTGCTGGAAGCCTGGTCTTCCCCAAGGTGGCACTAAGGTGGTGGAACTTTAATAGGTTAAGTAACTAATTCACAGAGGCATTACCCACAGAAGAAATTAATATAGTCCTTGGGGGACCCCACAAGTTGCTATAAAAGGAATGGCCTCTGAATCTTTCTGGTATCCTGGTTACCATGGGACCTCTCCTTTCACCCCTGTCACAACTTTACCTACTATGTTGTGAGCCACCAAGAGAATCCTTTCCAGAGGCAGAACAGATGGGGCTGTCTGATCTTGGACTTTCAACCTCCAAAAAGGTGAGTTCAATCACACCTCTTCTTTATAATGTACCCAATCTCAGGTATTTTGTTATAGCAAGATGAAGAAGGTTAAAAGGATGCCAGAAAGATAAAAAATGTTATCCTGCACACTTTATGTCATTAAAGTCCAGTCAGCTTTCTCATCTCCAAGCTAGTAAACCCACCTTGTTCACATGTCTCTCCCCTCCCCACTTTTTGTGGTACTGAGGTTTGAACCCAGGGCCTTACACTTGCTAGGCAAGCATTCTACAACTTGAGCCACACCTCCCGCTTCTCTTCTCCTTGGCTAATATGGGGAACCCAAACATCAAGTCTTGAAATGGATAAGTAGCCTTGTCTGTGGATTCTGAGTGCTTTTATTCCACTTATCCTGTGTAATGGCTGCATGTTTTTGCAGCTATGAAGCATAACTTTCTGCTTCCATTTTTTAAATCACTTATTATTTTGGAATATTTCGTATTAGATACGGGTCTTTCCCTTCACGGCTTCCTTCAAATAGGATGTTAGTTATTCAGTAAAATACTGTAAAAACATGCTCACTTATTAGCCATTTAAACTGTACTCCTCTGGGAACTATGAATTCTATTTCTCTTTCAATTTTGTGAAAATGAAGACCTAGAAGACCAAGATTTTCAAGAACCCCAGGAAGTGTGGTATATAATGAGTAAATCTTAACCCCCCAGATCTCTCCTGGAAGTAAAGGATGCTTTCAGGAAACACTTTAGGCTACATGCTTATGATAAAATTCAACTTTTCATGAAACTGAAACTAACAGGAATCAAGTTGCCCTCATCTGAAATCATCCTGACTTACTGCTGCTATACTGAGTTATCCCACAAACAGGTTAAATTATCAATGCACATAAGTCCGTTTCAGTTAGGCACTGGTCTAACCCATCTATGCAAAAAATCCGTCCATGGACAATTTTCACTAAATTCAAGGTTGCTCAAGTGTGTGTGTGGGGAGAGTGGCATAGATTGTCCTTGTCATCATTTTATTTATTAATACTACAAATGAAATGCCCAGCCCCAACTGCTTTCTCTACTTAGACTTTCATTGGTTTCTCTATCCATTCTGCTCTGGTTAGCATCTTTTGTTCGGACAGTAATTTATTTCTTTTAATTCAGATATAATGGCCAAATGGGTCATTTGGCTCAGTCAAATCCAATTGTTAAATCTTGGAATTAAATAAAAATGGATTTTTAATGGAGAAACCTCATCAGCTTCATGCCCTCTACCTCGTATTTGCACGGCCTTATCTAGCTTGCACTTTCCTGTGCCCCGCTGGACCAAAGTACACTGGAGTCTGGAGGCCACCTGGCCTCTCAGGGGCAAGTCTCTCTGTGTAGACGCTCTTTCTGGAATTAATACTTGCCCAGTGGAGTCGCCAGCACATTTGGGGGAGGGGAAAGGCGTCTGGTTCTGGGAAATACTTTTTTTCTTTTTTGAGGTTAATACCCTTATCTTTGCTTTCCAGCCAAGAAGGTCAGCGCTAAGCCTTCTTTCCTGCCCTTTTGCTGCTTGACTCCGGCAGCATCCCAGTTAGGAAAGGGACAGAACTTTTCCAGGACCTGAGGGTGTCCCCGCGGCGCCCTCTCTGTTCTTTCCCCCCCAACAGGGACCGCGGTCTCCCAGAAGGAAACGTGCCTGACTTCCCTTCCCCCGGCCTGTGGGCCGAGACGCAAGGCTGCTGCTCGGTTTGTTGTGCAAACCTTCAAAGACAGCTGTACTTAGCGCCCCAAAGCCCCCTGCCCTCGCCCCAAAGCAAAGCTCCAAGAGGGCGGGGAACTGCGTGGACTGGGTGGGGAGAGATCCACCTGCGCGGCCGCGACCAAGTGGGTCCCCAAGGGTGCAACCCCTCCCTCCCGGGCTGGTTTTCTCCCCCTGATCCTTCCCCTATTCCCCCCGTCCCCACATCCCCACCCTTTCTGGAGCTGGACAAACGGACGCAGTCGGGCAGGGTTGGGTGGGTGCGTCCTCAACCCGGGGCGGCACTCTTCTGGGCTGCGGGAGTCGGGAGGGGAGGAGGCGGCGGGTGGGAGCCAGGGGGGCGCCGGCCGCCTCTCCGATTGGCTGCGATCCGCCCTTCCCGCGCCGTGCGCCCCCAACCTCGCGTCCCGCGCCACCCTCCGCGAGCGCTTCTGGCACGGGGGAGGACACGCAAGGAGCGGGACTGGCCTCCCCGCCCCGCACCCGACCCCGGGCGCGCGGGGATAAAACCCGGGCGACGGACGCGGAGCCCCGGGCCCCACAGCCTCCTGAGCGCGGAGAGGCGGGGCGGCTCCGACCGGCAGCCGCGCCCCCGCCCCTCGGCTTGGCTCGGCTCAGCTCCGGTTGCGGGGCGCCCCGCGCGCGGGCACACGGCGGCCGGAGCGCCGACGCGGTACCTTCAGCCGTGCCATGAGAAGAGCCCGGGAGTAGCAAGTGGAGCCCGTGGAGAGGGTGGCGGCGCCTGGGGTGGCTGCTGCCACCGCGGCTGCTTGAAACTCCCCAAAGTTGAAAGCCGGAGAGAGGCTGCCGCCCGCCGGGAGCAAGAGGGAAAGGAAGTAGGAAGGTGCCAGAGGGACAGACGGACGCGCACGGACAGACGCACAGACCTGCAGGAGATACCGCTGTCGGCGGCCTATCCCCGGAGCCCGGGAGCTTCCCAGCTCTGTGAGTAGTTTTCTAGACCGATGGCTTTCTAAGCATTTCCGTTTAATTGTTTATAGGATGCGTTTGTGTATTTTGGGGTCCGTTGGAGGGAGTTAACAAGGCAGGATGCACCCTTTAAAAAAAATTGAGTTTCTGATGGTGAGACGGATGAATGGAGAGAATGTGCCTGTAGATGTCTGCAAGCAGGAGCAACCTAGGGAAGACTGCATTCGCAGTAAAAGGCAGCCTAGGCTCCCCAGTGTGAAATGAAAGGCATTTCAAAAGTTATTGGGAAGAAAGTACCGTATGACTTTGAAGGGTTAACAAGTGGTACTTACGCTTTTTCCACCCTTTTAAAATATTGTTTGCCAGATTGACTGGTGGGAGGCTGAGCTGGTGAAAAGGCACCTGGAAGAGACTGGGAGGCGACCATAATGTCTTTTCGGTTACACACACTGCCCACCCTGAATGGAGTTCTCAGACCGGGTTGCAGAGAGCTGCTGTGTTTGTTGGTGATCACGGTGACTGTGAGCCAAGGCGTCTCCGGGGTGTGCCCCACCGCTTGCATCTGTGCCACCGATATTGTCAGCTGCACCAACAAAAACCTGTCTAAGGTGCCTGGCAACCTTTTCAGACTGATTAAGAGACTGGATCTGAGTTATAACAGAATAGGGCTTCTGGATTCCGAGTGGATTCCAGTATCATTTGTCAAGCTGAACACACTCATTATTCGCCATAACGACATCACCAGTATTTCCTCGGGCAGTTTTTCCACAACTCCAAATTTGAAGTGTCTTGACTTATCATCCAATAAGCTGAAGACGGTGAAAAATGCCGTGTTCCAAGAGTTGAAGGTTCTGGAAGTGCTCCTGCTTTACAATAATCACATCTCCTATCTTGATCCTTCAGCCTTTGGAGGGCTATCCCAATTGCAAAAACTCTACTTAAGTGGAAACTTTCTTACACAGTTTCCTATGGATTTGTATGTTGGAAGGTTCAAGCTACCAGAACTGATGTTTTTAGACGTCTCTTATAACCGGATTCCCTCCATACCAATGCACCATATAAATTTAGTGCCAGGGAAACAGCTGAGAGGCATCTACCTTCATGGGAACCCTTTTGTCTGTGACTGTTCCCTGTACTCATTGCTTATCTTTTGGTATCGTCGGCACTTTAGCTCAGTGATGGATTTTAAGAACGATTACACCTGTCGCCTGTGGTCTGACTCCAGGCACTCCCATCAGCTGCTTCTGCTTCAGGAGAACTTTATGAATTGTTCTGATAGCGTCATCAATAGTTCCTTCCGTGCATTTGGCTTTATTCACGAGGCCCAGGTCGGGGAAAGGCTGATTGTCAACTGTGACAGCAAGACTGGTAATGGCAATACCGATTTTGTCTGGGTTGGTCCAGATAACAGACTGTTGGAGCCAGACAAAGAGATGGAAAACTTTCACGTATTTTACAATGGAAGTCTGGTTATAGAAAGCCCTCGTTTTGAGGATGCTGGAGTTTATTCTTGTATTGCAATGAATAGGCAACGCCTGTTAAATGAAACTGTGGATGTCACAATCCACGTGAGCAATTTCACTGCAAACAGACCCCACGCTCATGAGGCATTTAACACCGCTTTCACCACTCTTGCCGCCTGTGTGGCCAGTATCGTTTTGGTACTTTTGTACCTCTATCTCACACCGTGCCCCTGCAAGTGTAAAGCCAAGAGACGGAAAAATACACTAAACCAAAGCAATGCCCATTCATCTATTCTCAGTCCGGGTCCCGCTAGTGATGCCTCCACTGATGAACGGAAGGCAGGTAAAAGAGTGGTGTTTTTGGAGCCCATGAAGGATACTGCAGCAGGGCAGAATGGCAAAGTCAGGCTCTTACCCAGCGAGACGGTCATAGCTGAGGGCATCTTAAAATCCACAAGGGTGAAGTCTGACTCAGATTCAGTCAATTCCGTGTTCTCAGACACACCCTTTGTGGCATCCACCTAATTGTGTGCCTGTATTTGTAAGATGTCATCATTTAGTTTCTCCATATTTATCTTGTCCTGCTATTTATTAGCAGGACAGAAATAAAGAAAATAAATAGCAGGACAGAACTTGTGTTGTTTTGTTTTTTGAGATAAAACCAAATGGTGTCTTAAGATGATCAGTAGGAAATGAGGTAAAGCATTTTGGTTCCTCAACGTGGTGGAGAAAGATGGGGTTTGTTTCTGAAAGTTTAAGTTTGACAACACTATCTGGGTCTATAGCATCATTGATCACTTCAAAGCTGACCCAGAGGCAATATGAGTGACATTATCCCTTTCTTCAGGACTCTTAAAGTTAGAAAGCAAGCTCTATGTATTACCAGCATTATTTAAGAATAGACTTTGCTAGCTTATTAGGACCAAAGTTGAGGGTTTTTTTTAATTTAAAAGAAAAGCATTAGTAGTGCCCTACTTCATTTTTTAAAGATCATACAGCAATGACTTGTAAAGTATAAAATTAGATTTAGGAGTTATTCAGCCAAAATCATCATTTCAGACCAGAATGAACAAACTCCACTAATAAAATTTACTGGGTACTGCCACACATCCTCTGTAGTGTTAATGAGTTATAAGTAGTATAAGAAAGCTATGTTTGTTTGACTGTCTTCTGTACATTCATCTCCATTCTGTATCCTAATACAAAAGATCTTGTTGAAAACTTAAAGTCCTCATTATTTGTGGCCAAGACTATGTAAGTGTCAGTACCAACATGTCTGAGTAACTTCTTAAACCTAGTGGACTGATGTTTGTTCATATGCTTGTGGACATGTAAATCTTAAATTATAAAAACTGAAATTGACCCAAGTATATTGTATGACATTTAAGTTAATGTAAATATATGTATTCTGTGGCTTGATGTTTGTTTTATTTAGCTATTTTACAACATAACTCTAAGGTGTTTTATGTGGTCATTCTGTGCTAGTGTGTGTGAAAGTGTCACCTATGCAAACATCTCTCTGAAATTCTTGTCTTTCAATTGTTTATTTTTTAGAGGGAGGGAAAGGTTTTAATGTGTTCTGTTCAGATTTATACTTTATCACACTTTACTCCGATATCATTATGTGCTTCAGCCAGGCTTCGAAGACAATTAACTCTCACTTTTGCAACAAGTGAGAGCCTGGGAGACCTCCGTGGTACTCCCTTCTTTCCATGAGGTAATCAAGTGCCTTCTCTGCACTTAGCCTTCCGCAGCTGTAAAACAAAGGTTTCAGACCTTATCAGGTCTGAAATCTGATGATGTGTAGCGTTCCATCACATTCTGGAATCCATGTTTTCCTGGTGGTCTTTATCCCCTCCCAGGCCCACAATGGCCTTCTGCAACTGTACCGTATATTGAGGGAACACAGGGATGAGCTAAGGATAGGCCAGCATTGTACAGCTCAAAGAGTCTTCCTGAGCATCAGGTCTAGTTTCTTTCCCTTTCTCAGGGATGAATGAGGCTCAGCAGAGTTGTAAGCTGTCTAAGGTCAGAACAGAAAGTTGATGACAGGGTAGATGGAAAGCCCGGGCTCAGTACTCTCCCTGGAAAAGATAAGAGGCCCAGAAGAATGGTTACCTTGAACATGGATGGGCATGGAGAAGGAACCAAGAAACCAGATAAAAGAGTGATCAGCCAATGGCAAAGGAGAATCAAGCATGCATCGTCCTAAGCTAAGAGGGAGAATTTTTTAAGGACGGATATGGGCAACCCTGACACACATTGTAGACTTTGGCAATGGTGGTTTTGTGGGAAACCTGTCAGTAAGAAGAATAGTGGACACCTGGCAAAGGTTCTCTAAAGTGCCACCCAGGGCTGTCTGTGGTAGACTTTGGTCAACAGGGGGTTAAGGAACAAGTGACCAGGAAGTACCCCTTAGGAAACAGGATGCACAACATTCCTTATTGCATGATGTTTAAAAATGACTGCCTCTGAACCATTGACCTTACCTCTTAGACAAGATCCTTCAGAGCCAAAGGTGTTACAAGCTAGTATTTTATTCTAGTTGCTGCCATTGAAATAATTAGGAAGAGGTCTATAACAGGTATCACCTTGGAAATCATTATCTCTTTCTCCTTCATATTTAGAGAAACCCAGACTCAAGCAATGCTATGATTTGTTCAGGATTACACAGCTAGTCTGGACACAAGGAAAAACTTGAACCACTAAAGCTGTCAGGCATTGATTGGAAAGGGTTGCCTCAGGGGATCATGGACACTCTGATTTTGGGAGTGACAGAGCCACTACCTGGCAAGGAAGTTGCAGAGAGGATTCCTGAATTGCATCTCCTCTGGATGTGATCTTTGAGGTTCTCCCAGCCCTTGATCCTAGAAAATGAGTGTTGCCTTTGACAGGGAAACACAAGCAGTGCTTGGAGTGGGGTGGTGGTAGCAGAATTGCAACCATGGCTGATCTTAATACACTCTGGTTAAAGGACAGAATGAGTTGAGATAGAAACCAAGGCACTTGTGATCAAAACAAAACAAAAAAATCTTGAATAGTCAAAGCAAAACCATATTTTGAGCAAAAAACAGGAAGAAACTATGGTGATAAATAGAAAAGCATGAAACTGAAATGGGGCTGGGATATAGCTCAGTGGTAGAGCACTTGCCTACCATGCATGAAGCCCTGGGTTTGATCCCCAGCACCAAAAAAGAAAAGACCAAAAGAAAAAAAAAAATCATGAAACTGAATGTTACAGTGTGGAATTCAATGTTCTTAGATACATCAATTTTCTAGTGGGAACCTGATATGTATTTTAAATATAGGAACAAAATTAAATTGTACTTTATAAGTTCAACTTTTATATAATTTTACTTCCAAGCAATAACCTGGGTTTATGTAACTGAGTTCTGGTAAGCCACTCAGTATTTTTCATTACATAGTCATGAGAGCTTGAGGCTCACTGGAGAGATTAAGCAATGATCACAGGTGTGAAATTTCACTATCATAAAGATACGGGTCCACTATTTTCTGTATGTTTATAATATATTCTGCAATTGATTTTGAATCTTTAAGATTTCTAATCTTTAAGATTTCTAATCTGAAAGAATGGCCTAAAAGATTTCTGTTTCCTATTACTCCTCAATTCTGGCCGGGACACATTTCAGTATATTTATTTTTTAGGCTTTAGGTTGCCTGAATTACTTGCACTGAAAATGGGTTTTATTTTTCTAAATAAACATTTTTTCCGAAATGTTAATCAGAAAGGGACGTAGGTGAAAGTTACGGGGGAGGAAACATAAGAGGAACAAGCAGACGCCCTGTCAGTCCAATGTCTGAAAAGACATTATTTTGGATCACTCTGCTCAGCACTGTCAAAATAGGATGAAGGCTGAGCATCCTCCAACATCTCGGTGTTTCCTGTGCCATGCTTGATTATCATCACCCTCCAGGGTCAGCTGGTTTTCCAAGTGATCTAGAAGTAGGTCTGAAATAGACTCTCAAGGGACAGTGAAATAAACAAGGGTTCCCAGAAGCTACCCCTCCACACTCTTATAACCAGAGACCCTGATTTGGGAAGTTAGGGGAAGAGCCTGCCCATCATACTGTTTAAAATTTCACTGTATAGTTTTTTTTTGGTGGAACTGGGGTTTGACGCTTGCTAAGCAGGTGTGCTACCACTTGAGCCACTCTGCCAGCCCTGCTGTATAATTCTAATTCTGCCTATTTTGATGAAACATGTTGAAACAGGACCATAGCAGATTCATTGTTTTTTTTTAAGGTGGGAGTGGGGTTTGAAATCAGGGCTTCCACTTACATAGCAGGCACTCTACCGCTTGAGCCACACCTCCACCTCCAGTCCATTTTCCTCCGGTTATTTTGGAGATGGGAGGTCTCACAACTATTTCCCAGGGTTGGTCTCGAACCTTGTTCCTCCTGATCTCAGTCTCCCAGGTAGCTTTGCAGGTGTGAGCCACAAGCACCCGACACAATACATTATTCTTACTTGCTGATGGATTTATTAATAAAAAGAAGAATCTTAGTCCTCTAAATTTTTTTCTAGTACTTAAAAAAACCCACAAAAATAAGAATTTGGTTCACTGACACTAAATGAACCCTAGAGTAAATTCTTGGCTATAATGTATGATTTACAGTTTTTTAAATGATGAAATATGAAATTACTTTGAGATGACTACATCTCTGATTCTTTCATTTTAAAGCTATTTTTAGTTTGAAAGCAGCTACAACAGATGGGGTTTGTAACAATGAGCTTTGAAGCTTTCAAGTTTGATTAGATCATAGTACAGTGAGGATATATTCCAAGGATTTTGAGCCCTGATTCCTTCTACAGAGAACCAAACTTCTTTGTTTTGAAATATATAAGAACACTGTTTTTTAAAGAGAGCACTAAGGTTCTTTTCATGGCTCTGTCATTTCTCCCCACTCAAGGACCAGCTCCCAAACCATGTTTCTTATTTATTATGATATGGAAGTTAGTGTGGCGAGATGATAATTAGTTTACCCATATAACATATAAAAAGATGGGTGATAATATATTAGAAAGGACTAAAAATACTTAGAATAACCTCTTGAATAATTAAGAGGACTGTTAACAGGCCATTGTTACCTGCAGACAGAATCAAAGAAGGTAGCCCTTTCATACTAAGGTCCAGAGTAAACAGAATATGGATAAATAGACACTTGTTGTACAATGTACAAGCAGTATTTATATATTAAATCATGTCTTAATTTATTAAGCATGGTCTACCGTGAGAGTTAGTATTTATTTACATCCCTCATCACAGTAGCCTTGAGAAACAGGAAATATTATCACCTGTTACAGGTGGGAAGAGAAGCTCAAAAAAGGAAAAATAATTTTCCCGGGTACCCAGCTAATAAACTTTTTATCATGATAATCACTTCCACAATACTCATCTAAGTGCTTTACCTATAGAATGATTTTGTAAGGCATGAGCCGTAAGTAAACTTTCTGTAAAGGTAAGAATGTGAATGGATCAGTACTCATGGAAGTCTGGGGAGAAGAGAAACAGGTCAGGAGATGATAAGTCAGAATAAGGTGAGCATGATTTTGAAAACACAATACATCACCAAGAAACAGAATCAGGAATTTAC